CCCCCCCCCCCCCCCCCAATAAGGAAAGTTTTCCCCCTTTTTACTGCTCAACCCTCATTCTAAGCCAAAATTCATTCAAATTTTCCCCAGAAGCGATAACCTTGGCAAATGAAATACATACACAAGGCCTTCAAAGATAACTAAAGCCTCTTTAATAATCTTGACAGGCAACAGCCTGGCCAGAGGAGGAGAAACCAGCAAGATGATCCATGGTCTCCTCCTCACATACGAGAAGCTTTAATAGTGTCACTCTCCTATATACCTCTGTTAAACAATTTCCTTCTCATTAATTAAACATACACTCCATCAATTGAGTGCTCGTGCCTATCAGGTATTGCATTTGGCGCACGGGAGAAGATATATGCTTGATTTATTTCACCTCTCTGGACGCCATACATCAAAACGAGAAGGAAATTATCACAGAAACAGAGAATAAACAGGAAATGTCACATATTAAGGGTTAATTTATTCGGTTTACAGCAAATGCTGCCAAGAAACCATGCATAATTCATGATTAAAACAAAAGGAATGAGTGAAAAACGCACTGCTTTTGACTGATGCCTCTCCCATCCTCTGAACGGAGGCAGAATTAGTCAGCTCCTTGCTCACGCCTTCCCTCCCTACGCTTGGTGAAATTTCTCCCTCACTGCCACCGAGATCTCACCCTCCATTTTCTCTGCGTCTCCGCCGCTCTCTCTGCGTTCTCTCTCCCTCAGCCATGCACAAATACCAATAAAAACCTGTGCACTCGCACGCAGCCCCACACCGTAGACATGCACGCACACTGAAGGCACAGAGCATGCATGCTGGCTCGTTCTCACACGAGAGCCTGCTTCCTCCATTTTACACATTCAGAGCAACCCTTCCCCCACCCCTGCTGCCACTTACACACACACACACATTAATTACAGCTTCTGCTCCCTGGTTCGGTTTGAATATGAGGTTAAAATGCAGCTAAAACAGTCACAGACAAAAAGTGTGTATTATACTTCACAAGATGCCTCGCCTCTCAATGAGCGACTAGAACAGCAGACTGGAAACGAATGAGAAACGTGGACACACACATCCATAAAACATCCACATCTTCCCCTCACAAATCTAGAATCCATTACTTGCTGGATATTAGATTTGATCATGTGTTTTGCCTGGTCAGCAGTGTTGGCAGGTCACTACCATCCTTGAATTAAATTGGCAGAGCTACATGCACTTGTTGCGTGGTCACAGTGGCCCTGTCAGTCCTTGTCAGATGAGGGTTTAGATAAGTATGTACGTAGGGGATTGATGAAACCATAAAGCACTGATGGAGCAGTAAATACATGAAGATTAAACTCCTCTGCATGAATCAATCTTGACAAGCATACTGTAAGATTACAGCACATGCAGTATGAAAGGATCAACACTGGATGAATCCCTTGAAAAAACGATGCATCTTCTAGCATCTACAGGGGAGCTTTCTGATTCTGCTCAATTTCAACCTAGCGAACACATATACACCAACTGCCTACTGCCTGCTGCCTACTCTCAATGCCCCCAGCGGCACAGAAACGGCATTTACCTGGTCGTACCAGTCCCGGTTGGAACAGGTGCACTCGGGCCACCATCCTCCTTGGCCTCCTGAGTTGTTACCGTTCACCTTGGGGCCGCCCTTGGATTGGCTCTTGGGGTTGGGGCCTCCAGGACCCCCAGCTGACATCATTTTCCCTTTACTTCTTCCCAATGTACCCCCTCCACCCATTCCCCCTCCTCCGCCCGAGGTTTGGGGCGGTAAGGTCTGGCCGCCTCCATAGCCAGCCGGGTATCCGTAGGGTTCGGGCTGCCAGTCTCCATATGCCGGGGCGTCCATCCTGCGCAGGGCGGCCATGCGGGTCACTTCATAGCATTCTGGGCACTTGCAGCAGTGGTGATGTTTGTGCATGCTGGCTAGTTCACGCGGTGCAGCGCTCTCTGTCTCTTTCTATCTCACTGCTGCTGCTGCTGCCTGCTCAGATCAAACGCAGCACGCAGTGCAGCTCGGCTCACGGAACGGCAGCAGGAATCTTCACAAACCCTGTTATCCTCCTCTTTGTTCCTCCCGATTGAGAAAAAGATGAGACGAGGAGGTAGCAACAGGGCGATGAAAAATAGAAAAAGCTTGGTGGTCTTCCTCCGGTCGATGCAAAAGGTTTGGAAATATAATAAAAATAGTGTGTATGATCTCGGAATCAGAGACCAGCCCCGATGGTCGAGTTCTCTTCTTGCTTCTGTTGGTTCACAGTGATACGTATATAAATTCATAGATATATATAGTCATTTGTTTATATATGTATATATTTACACACACACAAATACATATAAAAATATTGATATAAACAGACAAGCACAAATACAGTTATATACAGGTATATATGTATACATATATAATTCTATAAATATTGATATGCGTGTGTACAAATATATATATATTATATATATATAAACAATTTCTATATATATAAATGATATCCGTGATCAAATCTTCCTCTGTATGTCTCTGCTTGCCAGATTTCTTCCTTCTGCGTTTCCTCCTGCTTTGGGAAGCGTTTTCTTGCCTTCTTTCTGTCTCTCTTTTCCCAGCCTGCAGAGAGGAGCTGAGCACTGGATTGAATCTCAGCCTGCTTGCCCTAGATGTGGATTATACGGAGGGATGCAAGCAAGTGAGAGGGAGAGAGAGAGAGAGAGAGAGAAAGGGAGAGAGAGGGAGATGCATAGCAGCATCCCTCCAGCACCTCAGCCCTGACAGCCACAGCCAATCAACTCACAGCACAGCCATCAGCAGCAGCACCAACACAGGACTGACTGCTTCAGTGACTGCTCTTAAAGGGCCAGCGCACCTGAACATCAGCCAGAACACAGAGCCCGAATGGAGACACAGAGAGTGCATTTATTCAGCTCCACGGCTTCACTGTAAGAAAGACTGAAGACCTGCCTTGAGGGTTTATACTGAAGAAGGGCTACATAAGGGGCTGATGGATGACCATGTTTTAATCTATTTGTGTATTAGGTTAATTTGTTAATTTACTTTAAAATAAAATAAACCATACACTTTGGACACTACAAACTAGCAATGAAAATATGTAAAATGCTTGACGATAAACTCCAAGAAATACTGCGCTACATCAAAGACCAAAAAAGATTTGTCTTCAAAGAATAAAACATGAATGAAAATAACATTTGATATAATTTTGCAGACCTATAGCTTTCAACTGCTAGCTGTCTCATAGTTATGTTCTGTCAAACACATTTGTATTCGTAGATGAATTTAGCCAAAATCTGGTAGAGTGGAATGATCGAAGAAAATCTGCTCCACATTTTTAAAGTGAGACTGTTCTCTGCAATATTTCCTGTTAGTTTTCTACAAATATCTTTTCATATATAATTGTTAGCTCTTTCCCTGCTAAACACGGAACTTTCCGTTATTTATGAGACAACGCTTCCCCGCCAAACACAGACTTTTCCACACATTCAATGAGTCCAGAATGTACTGATAAAAAACACAGAAGACGGAGATGCAGAAACGAGCAAACTCATATGTAATACAACAATATGTAACACAACAATAAACAGCATATAAATGAAAACTGCCTGACGTTACCAAGTGAAATGTCAGTCCAGGAAGTGGTAATGAACTGTGCAAGCAATCTACTGCATCTTTGCTTTGATCATCGTACTGAATATGATCCAGATGTAGTATTTCATAAAAACGCAATTTTCTCAGCTTTTTGCTCAAAATGTTGCATTTTTATGAAACTTACTTACATTCAACTGCTGATAAAAAAAGAATGCTTGAAGATAGAATCAAGTGGATTTGTTTTTGTTTAAAAGTAGAGGCTATGTTTTTTATTTTGGTGTATTGCATGTTCAGATATTCATACAACAAAATATTTTGGGGACCATGACATTTTAGTGAAATTATCACAAATGCTGATGGTGGCTGGCAGCTTTTTTCAAAAACGCTAGTGGGGCAAGAGTTAATTGTCTTTAATGTAGCTTATAGTCATTTGGCTGTTAATTTTAAAACTAAAAATGGCTGGTTTAAAATATTTCCTTTAAATCAGATATTAATCACGTTAATAAAATTAATTGTTCTTCAATCAGAAAGTGTATTTACAATAAAGTAAGAAATAACAAATGTAGAAATTAATTTATCAAATTAACTACACCATTTTGAGAAAATTGCTTATTGAAATCCTTGGAATCTACAGAATCAGAGTCTTGAGTTGCACAATTTCTTGTTATTGTTATTTCTTTATGTCAAGACAAGACATTACTGAATTTACTGACTATTGTAGATGAATATTTGCATACCTAAAGGCAATACTTCCACAACACTAAAAAAAATCCATGTTAATTTGATTACAACAAGTGACCCAAGTGACACTCCTATTGAGGGATTTGACAAGATTACTTAAACTGAAATGCCACAAATTTGTAGCTGAATCTAAACAGATGTTGGCCTGTTAGACTGTTGTACTATTACAAATATACTAGAGCATAAACATTAGAAAGCAACTAGAGTGTTTACTGATGCAACTATATGCATGCATGGACATTTGTGTGAGTTGCTCTGTTTATGCATGTGTGAATTCACTTGTTTTTGTGGCTGAGTCAGTTCTAATAGGCATTGCACACTATTCTATTCCGACCCCACCAGGAGGCACAAACAGCAGGCTCAGCCACACTTAATTATATGCAACGGTAACTCACTTCATTACCACAATATACTATTCCGGCAAACTTTCCGATTTCCAGGAGGAAGGCCAATTGGAGATAAGAATGGTGCGAGTATCACACAGAAGCATAGCCAATGCCAATGGGGAGTGTAAGGGTGGTGCTTGGTGGCTGAAAAAAGCCAATGCAAGCATATTCATCACAGCACACACGACTGGCCACATGTTACGACCACCCTGTTCCCTCTGCTCCCCTTGTCTATACTGCACGTTCTCATATAGGATGCAGACCTCCATGGTCTTCACAGATGAATTTTTAATGTAGCTGGCCAAGGATGAAGAAGAAAGTGGAAGGCAGGGAAGCAGAGCGTGCTTATATGCATGCATTTCATGCTTGCATTATGTCATGTGTTTGTGTCGGTATCTTCAAGAGTGTGAGTGCATGTGGGCGTTTCTAGTACCTCTAGGGAAAAATGCTGCTCCTTAAAGAATGACATAATATAAAATCTTTAAAAAAGACAGTCACAGCCAATCAATGGCCAAATCTGTCAATATTCGCTAGAATATCAGTACGCACACCACAAAGGGGGATTATTGAGCAAAGAAAAAACAAGATAGTTAAGTTATTCAGATCAGGACATTGCACCACATCCGCTGCCAAAAATGCTTATAGTTTAATGCATGTAAAGGGGCCATGTGTTGCAAGTAACATTTAATTGCCTCTTAAATGTCATCCAAGATGTTCTTGCTACAATAATTACATATGCAAATGTAAATCCAGTGCAAAACCGTGTAGAAATGCTATAAATATTATTTGATTTAAAGCTGGTGCAGGATGTTTTAATATGGCTCAAATATGCATATAAAACTGTATTCATTTCTATCTGCAGCCTTATACTTTCTTGCAAACAGCCACATAGAGAGAGACTGTGTGATGGTAGAGACAGATGCATCCTCCCAGTCTGAATGAAGAAAAGTACTACAGATGGACGGTTAAAAAAAGAGACAATTTAAGAAAGCACCTTCTATCTGCCTGACGGTTTCGACTGCTCTTTGACTAAGAAAAAAATAAAAAATAAAAAAAGAGTATTCTTAGTTCATAAAATATATCTGCAGATATCATATATATAGTATTCTATACTGCATGAATACACTGAGAGAATTCCTGGAGAATGAAAACCAACCTCTGACCCACTCTTGAGAAATTGGAAGAAAGCCTATTGTTGATTTATGAAATAACTGAGAATGGTTGTGTTATGGTTTTTCAAAGGGATGTAGATTGTACTTCATGACACACAGCATATCTTATATCGGACAGCCTCATTGTCAGTTTCTGCATTCCCACATTACATAAACCCCCCCCAGCCGGCCTCACAACCCCCCACATACTCTCTCACATCAAAGGTAGCTATAGCTATATCTGTGCATTCTCACAGCAGCCCATGTGACTGCACTCCTGTCACCTGACAGGATGTATGTCCGTATAAGGCAAGATGAGACACAGGCAGTCTTAAAGGGGCAGTAACATTCTTGAAGGTTTCCTTTGAATGAACCACAGAGAATTGCTGTAGGAAACAGGTGCAGAGCAGCCTTTGAAATACTGTGATTATAGTCTACATTGAATAGGCAACATAAACATGATGCAATAATTATTAATGCATAACATAAATGCAAACACTTTACATTTTGAATTGCAATGAATGTGCTGCTTCAAGGCCAAGAAAGGGTTTTGGGTTTTTACCTAAACACTCATCGAGTCGTTGCTCCTCCACATTGACACAATAAACTAAAGTGCCTGTGAAGGCTGTGACTCCTATTAATAGGCCTGGTGACAGAAAACAGCTGCTGCACCAAACACCGCACATCCAACTGACAGCGTAATGATAAGGGAAATGAGAGAAAGAGAGAGAGGAAAAGAGAGAAAGGGAATATGAGATGCTTGTGAAATGACTGGAGAACTGAGAGGTCTTGAAGAGAAGAGAGGGTCTGATAAGGGCCACGTAAACTGCGAGAGTGGCAGCCGCGTTTAAATGCAGGAACAAATCCCTAAATTATCGTTCTCTGAGGCTACATTCACAGAACCAGTGTTTGGGATTGACAACAGTGTTGAACTGTCCTGTTCACAAAATAGGAGAGGGTTGAAATATGTCTATATGATCAAATATGGACTAAAGTCCCCTAGATTGCCTTAAAGGGGTCATATGATGCGATTTCAAGTTTTCCTTTCTCTTTGGAGTGTTACAAGCTGATTGTGCATAGATAAGATTCCTGAAGTTGCAAAGACTAAAGTCTCAAAACCAAAGAGATATTCTTTATCAAAGTTAAGACTCTGCCACGCCCCCCTAAAACGGCTCGTTCTAACACGCCCCCACATATCTACCTCACTATGTGGAAATATTAGTATAATGCCGCCCAAATGTGCATGCAAAGAAAGAAGGCGTGGTTTCAGTAACCGCAGTTAGTGTTGAAGCAGCCATGTCAGGGAGACGCTGTGTGTTTCTAGGCAAAAGCAAAAGCACTTTATTTGGCCTTCCAGAAGTAGATGCATTTAGGAATCTTTAAGAT